CTCCTGTCTATTGGTAGGGCGCAGCTTCTGCTGGAAAATGGGTACAGCATCCCTAATGACAAATACATGGTCCAGAATGCTGAGACAATTGCAGAAGCAGAGCAAAACCTGCCTCTTCAGCCAGCATGTGACCACCTGACCTACTCTATGGTACCTAGCAGGTAAACTCTTATGAATAGTCCTGCCCCCGGAAATCATCCATCTCTGCCAAACCATTGTAAGCCCACCAGGGAGTGGTCGCGTAGCGGAAACAGGTCGTAGAACCCCTTGGGGTCTTTCAGGAGTATCATCCAGATAACGAAACTATATGATGCTCGGCCGAAGCAACCAACTGGATTGGAATAAAAAATCCATATATAATATATATATATTATATTTATACATATATGCCAGAAGGATCCTTGGGTCAATCTTCAGGCAGTCGTGGAAATTCAACTTGTAATCCTTTCTGAGGAATGTGTCTGCTGTTCACTTCCCTGGCCATTCCAACTGGGCCACCCAGCTCCCCCTTTCCCCCCCCCCAAATTTGTGAAGTTCTTTTAGTATGTTTTTCTTGTGTAAAACAACGGGTCTTTTCCTCCACTTTTTCCCATTGCACCAGCAGTTCTGTTTTGACGAAAAGGTCTCACACTGATACCTCTGCTCCCTCCACCCTCACTCACTTCATTACATGTACAGAGCATTTCCGCCATAGGCCCCAAAGGACCACCTTGCGCCCTATGTCGAACAGAGTACCTGTAAATGCGGAGACCTTGGCAGGCTGCCATAACCCCAGGAGGAGGGCATGCCAGTCCCAGGACCAATCTGTTCTGGTGTGCAGCTGCCTCCAGATGCGTTCCCACGTACGGTAGGTGAGGACTGCTCGTGGGCATTGGAGGAAATTGTGCCAAATGTTCTCCCTAATCCTCCGGCTCGGGTATCCTTCGTGGTAGCCTTTGCACCATGGGAGCACCAGCCCTTTCTGCTCCAGGTGGGAGTGGTCGACTGACCAGTCATTCATGGGAATCGCCTGCCTTTGCAGCGAAGCGAACTTGGAGGGCCTGTCCTTCACGCCCCGGAACCACTTGATGTTTCTGAGTTTGTCATTGTGGAGGTTCAGGTGCTTCGCCAAATGATCCCTCTTTTTTCCTTTTTTCCTTTTTTTTGGGGATCGCCTGCCTTTCCTACTAGGGGGGGTGATATGAGCAGCCCTCCCTAGTAACCACCTCACTTTTGGGTCTCAGCATACGGTAGGCCGCTTTGACAGACAGGGAGTCCAATTTATTTGCTTTCCCTGTTCTGTCCTTGATCCAAGTGCACTCGGCTGGGTCTAGAGCAAGCTTAGAGAGGGGTGTTGTTAGGAAGTTGCAAATCTTCAACTTCTTCCCATGTGCAGCACTCAAACAAACTAAAGTGAGGACCAATCTTGAAGATAGCAATTGGAGAGAAGCTTTACAACAAGCTCATATTGCTCAATCACACAAGCACACTTGCGAGGATCTGGGTCCTCAGCAGGCCTAAGGGGCCCCTGTTGGATCTGCGCCCCAGAAAGACAGCAAGATGGGGTGTGCCAAGGATTTTTGGAAAATTGAGTGTGGGGACACAGACAAAACTGAAATCCCCCGTGTTGGCCCGATGAAGTAAGTCGGTTGCTTTCGCGCGTCGCGGAATGCGCGCGCGAGCACGGCGCGAAAAGAGAAAAATCCAAATTCAATCCAAAAAGTATTGTCGAGCTTCCCACCGCGCTACGGATCTTCGTTTAGAGCAGAAGGGCTTCGGTACACTCCGCGTATCCCGTTTCCGTATTAATTCCCGACGTCGTTCGCTGGCCAATTCTGAGTCCGACGTGCATGGTCTCAGCCGCGTGGCTCTTTCCTTGTGCTCGTCTTCACTCCGTATCCGGTAGTGGAAGCCCTTCGATTCGTAGCGATCGAAACGCTGGCACTTCGTGCACAGGGTTCGAGGCCAATGGGACGCCACTGCCGTCCACGGAATGACGATTAGCTCGTTAAATGACAACAATATTGAGTAGGGTGGGAAGAGCGTATCAATAATGACAAAGACCGCATCCAAAAACCCAGAACAACGGTTTTCGGGAGGGAAGTAATATTGTCCGCCGATTTGTGCGAAACTTCCCGTGCGTCCCACTCGCATACACGTGTCCTTTCCTCGTTGTAAGGGAAGGGGCGCGTCGGCGAGGGAGATACGGAAGGCTGGCGCCTGATCGAGGAACGACCGTTAGTCCACATATCAATCAATSAAACAGAGTTTACACAAATCCTTGAGACGTCATCAAAAAGTACGATCGAAGAAGGGCTAATTAGTATCTTTCTTCCTTTGGTCACGGGAGTAGCATCCCATGCATTAATCAAGTGGGAGTTCCAAGGGACCAACCCGCGACTCAGTTTCAGCAAACCAGATCAGCAAAACACGAGGCGCCTAGCTTTTTCGAAGTTGCCTCACAGATTGTCTGTGGATGTTATGCAGCATAAGGAAGATGGCATGCGCAGTGTATTCAGAACGACAGATCTAAACACTCTTGCATTCTCGAACAAAATCCCGTTGAACTCGGGGTCTAATCAACGCAAAATTACAAGCATCTCTATGCATACATCCACTGTGGAAGGTGCGAAAGTGACAAGGGTGCACAGGCCAGAAATCAACCGAGGGATTGCACACACGCATCCACCGTTCACAAGACAAGAGAATTAAGTTCTCGACATTTGGGGATTACCCAGGAAACTAATGGAAGAGTTCCGGAAGAAGTTCTTTCGTGCGAGAACTCTCGAGAGTTCGCTTCGGTTCACAAGAGAGACAAGCCCACAACACATCGTTATTCAAGTCAGAGAGAGAGAGAGAGAGAGAGAGATGGGAGGGATAGACGAGCAAAGTCGAGACGGAAGACATCAGAGTTCGACAAGAGAGCATTCGGCTTCACAACCATGAACTCACACCAGAAAGAATGATCCGCAATCATGAAGGCCCATTCGCCGTAAAATTCCAATATGGCCCCGGGCCAATCATCCACTCAACTCCAATCACAAATCCTCATACTCGCACCGACGATCCCGGCCATCGCGTGCTAACTTCCACCACTGCGATCGACACCCCACTGACGTAAACTCGACTCGGCTCGCCCGAATCCCACAGTCCGTCGTGGCGATCAAGCGCGCAGCCGGCCAGACTACAGTCAGCCCGACAAGACTTTTCGACTCGCACCAAATGCATCACCTAGCCACTGCTTCCTGGAAGCTGGCTTGTGAGTGGAAAACGTAAGAGAGTTTTGCGGGCGCGCTTGCGGAATTTATAGTTGCGAGAGAGGAGATAGATGGGGGAGGAGTCAGAGGGGAGATCGAGGTGTAGGGGGAGAAGGTTCAGCGAAGGGTGCTCAGGGGAAGCCATGTTGATCCTTCAGAACCCGATGGTCGGCCAATCAGATTCGTCGCGCAATAGGAAGATCATTTTACTCAACGCGTCTGATTGGTGAGGCCGGGTAATCGGAGGATCAACCGGGCTTCGTGAGCCAAGGTTGAAGAGCAAGAAGAGACGAGGCGCGAAAAGCAGCGCGAGACGGGTCCCAGATTCAGATGATCAAGAAGGGGAAACAGGCGCGCAAAAAGCAGAGAGAGAGAAAAAAAAACAATTGCGAAGGGAGAAGAAGAGGAGGGGGAAGGGAGTGAGAAGAGAGCGCGGGGAAAGAATGACGCGGGAAATAAGGAGGAGGAAGCTCGCATGCGCGGTGCCGACAACAAGAGAAAAGGCACCAAAACAGTTACAGCTTGCCTATGTCCTACACCAATTCAAAAATTGAAATCACCATATCCGTTCGTGAAGGTCGACGCGGGAAAAGAAAGTCCTATGTCTATCCGTATTATCACAAAATTCCTAGAGTTTTCTCCGTCGTGACCGAGAATATTCATGCGAGGAAAAAAATACGTCGGGCTCCGCTTATTCCGTAATTCCTAACTATCGAGCCCGATTCCCAGTGCGCTCGCTAAGGCGCGCGTAAGTTCGCGTGTCTTTCCCGAATTACAAAAAGAAGAATTCCAAGAATCAAGAGAACTTCTGAAAAATGGAGGCCCAAACAAGGCGCCTAAAATCAAGAAAAGTGACGGGGGTTTCGAGGGGGCGATGTGATACAAAAAAAAGGGGGTAGGAAAGGTAGCACGGGGTCGGGAAGTGGTTCGTCACATATGTGACGCGCAGGGGGTTCCAAAATTATGCGATCTCCTGATTGCATGAAAAGCTCGAACAAAGGGAATAGGAGGAGACGAAGAATCAGGAAGAAGTACAAGGAACGAGGGGGGGGGGATTAGACGAAGAATCAGGAAGAAGTAGGAGCTCGGATCAGCACGATGAGTTGGCGACAACATCCGTGGCAAGATCTCCGTGAAGCATGCCGACTCTTGCTGTTTCGGATCCCGTTCCCTGCAGTCCTGTCATATGCAACCCCCTGTCCTTCGAACTTCAGAGATCGTCCAGGTGGCACCATCATGGTCCATCAGATCTCTGTGTGCTCTACACCCCTAGTCCAGCGCGGCCCATCGAATCAGAGCATAAGTTGACATCATCGTCAATGGCGTGATCTTCGCGAAACGGCTGATTCGTATTGCCTGGAGGGCATGTGGCGGGTATCAACGTCGTGTGGGGATGGGGAAGTAGACATTCTACATGGGAGGATGTTGACGGGGAGGGTTGGGGGGAAGTGGGGGTAAGTATCGGTTCATCCCTTCTTCCGTGATTGGGAGTTCCTCGTAGCGGATGATCCGGTGAAAGCGGGGAAACCGATCGCCGCTGTGGGGGAGGGAGGCGAGGTAGTCAGGGTAAAGGGTGGAGACAGTGCGGAAGAGTGCCGCACGAAACTGATCGTGATGGCGACACGTGGGGATGGTCCCTGTAATTACTCAGTGGACTTCTACTGCGTTACTCTGTTCGCACGCGGCTCTAAACAAGAGAACGTGTAAACAGAACGTGGGGTTTGCGGATTGAAGGGAAGGGTGGGGATGGACTGTGAGGGCGAGACGGGTGGAGTAAAAGTGACGGAAGGTATTGGGAGGAAAGAGGTTGCGAGGGAAGGTGACGGGGGTAGAGATCTGGCAGAGGGTGAGGTAATCAAGGGGACGGCGGGATAATGACCGGGGACGAAGGCCGATTCCCCCCATCGGTACGTGGACGAATTGGGGGACGGGTTGGGGTGGAGGGGGAGGGGGAGGGGGATCGGCTCCGTCTCCGTCGCGATGCGCTTGGAGCCGCGGTTGCTGATCCGCCATCTTCGGGCTCGGGGGGCTCTGGATCCCTGGTTGTGTCGTCGTTGATACACAGGCTCGCCTCGCTAGCGATCTCCAACTGGCTTTTCCCGGCGGCGATCTCTTCCCTTCTTCGGGCCGCTTCGGGATTTTCCGCCTCCGTGCCTGTTCGCGCCGCTTCTTCCGGCAAGTCCTCCCACTCCGATCCGACTTCCTCCTCTTCGTCTTCTTCTTCTTCTACCTCCTCCTCTTCTTCACTTTGCTCCCCTTCGCTGTACTCACTGTAACTTCCCTCCTCCGACGTTTCTTCGTCGGCGTCGCCCTCTTCTTCAGTAGCTTCCTCGTCTCCTTCAAGCGCCTCCTCAGGTTCTTCCTTCGGATAGAAGGCGCGATCGATGATCCCGTACGGCTTCAAGTACTCCTGCCGCGATGGCAAGGTGTTGTCACTCCCGGGTTCCTCCAAGCAAGCAGTCCACTGAAGATACGGTGCTAATGCCCGCGTGATGACGTGCGGAGCGGGGCTGTTGTCGCTTTGCGAAACGATGTCGAGGGAGAGATCGTCAGCCAGTTGCGCGAGCGGGACGACGAGTTCTTGAGTAATTGCTGGCGATTACCTGGCCGCACCGATCCGAAGAGGAAACCGAGAAGATCACCTTCCACGTCCGTTCTCCAAGCCTGGATGATCAACAGCTCCAGGCACTCGATGCACGCAGGATGCTCGCTGGTCCGCGTCCACGTCACCTGCACTCGGGCCAAGCACACAGACAGATTGACAAAGGTCTCGCGCCACACCTGCCAATGCCCGGGATCAAGGAGCGGGACGACAAGAGGCTCGAGCAAGAAAGAAAGGCGAGGATGGAGATCGGATTGCCAGAAGGTGGGGAAGAGAGAGGGGAGACCAAAGGTGAAGAGGGGAGCGAGGGGAGCGAGGGGAGCGGCGCGGTTCATTGGGGGCGTTGGAAAGGGATGAGGGTGGGGAGCGCGACTGCCAGCTGGCGCGGAGAGTTGCGAACCCCGTCAAAGTCAGTCCCGGACGTTGGGATCAGACTGTTCCCTGGACGCGCAAGGTCGTGCTGCCACTCGTCTGACAACTGCTGCGTCCACTCTCGTAAAGAGGTCAAGATCGCGGTATGTCTGAGCGGGTTGATCGTGCTAATGTCGCCGCTGAAGGCAGGGACCGTGGTGACGTGGCTCGTCCCTGGAGACGCTCGTCGATGAAGAGCCACCACTTTCGCCAATATCACTGCCTGCTGACTCCCGACGAATCGGAACGCTGCAGCAGCACACACACACTTGGTGCAGAAGAACTGCGCCACTCTTCGAAGATCAGGACTGAGCCGCGGATGACGAACTTGCCGGATTTCAAAGATGTAGCTACGTGGCTGCAGCAGATGATTGCCAAGAGCTTGCTCCGTGATGAAACTCGTGGCGAGGATGGGGAAGAAGATGAAAGAGGGGAGCAGGAGGGAGAGAGCGAGGCGAGAACTAGATCATCGTCGTCCTCTTCTCCAGCAGATGAGGGAGATGGAGGGAGATCAGAGGGAGGGAGGGGACGGATGTAAGAGGTATGGCGGGCGATGGGGACAGAGCTATGGCTGGCGCTTGCCTCGGGCACGATGCGCACCGTATTAGCATCGTTAGGTCCGAGCTCGACAACGTGGAAACAGTCGGAAAACTTGGGAGCGAGTTTTCGGTCGCGTGCACATTTACCTACTTGTACCACGTCCCCTAATTTATATTGATGTTGGGGACCGGCGTTCCCATTTCGGGCCTCGTAGCTACGGACTTGTCTTCCGTGGGCTAGATCAGTCATTTTCTATATTTTTCGGGCTAGCTTCGGAACGGCCCGTTCCATTAAATTGGCATACCTTTTGGCTTTGGCCTTAAACCACCAGTACTTGGGCACTGCGCGCCGCGTCGACCGCACCTTTTTTGAAGCGGCACGGGCTGTCGATACGATTTATCGACGGCCCGCCGGTAGCGAAATTCTCATAGCGTTAACGCTAAGGCGTCGCCCAAGTACTGGTGGTTTAAGGGCGGCACACGTGTCTCTACCCCCGGCTTCGGCAATTTCCGAGTTGCCCTGGTAATCGACGCATGGGAGGCTATTGGTGCGAAGCTGAAAGGGGGTGAACCCCGTGGATTCATGAGGGGTGGCCCGGTGAATTCCGACAATTTGGTATACGATCTCGGACCAAGGACGCGTGTCATTCGCCGCTAAATTTCTACGAAGGGCAGTCTTAATCATGCGATTGGCATTTTCGGCCAACCCGTTCGACTGAGAAACGTGGGGTGCCGTGTGTCGAAGCGTAATGCCTCTTCGTGCGAGCAATTCCTCTACCTCACCTTTGAATTCAGACCCATTGTCGGTTAGAATTTCTTTTGTATCTAGGTGAGTATAGAGGAACCGATTGATGCATGTGGCTATCTCTGCGGCCTTACGGGTCTTGCAGGGGTATACCTTGATGTATTTGGAAAAACGGTCTATTAAAACTAAAAGAATGAAGTATTCGCAACGGTTTGGGCTAGGTGGCACGTCGATGTCTGTCGTGTCCATACTGACTCGTTGGAAAGGGCGCTCTACTTTTGTCGGTACTATCATGTTTGGTCCCCGTATTGGGGCACGATCAGCGGCACAGAACAGACAGTTGGCGACTACGTATCTGACATTGTCCCGTATATTAGACCAGAACCATCGATTATGATCTATAGTTGCCTCCATGACACGTATCGTGAAGTGAGCGACCTGCTCCTCGTGAGCAGATTGGGTCCAATCATATCTCTGGAATGGATGAGGAACCGTCAACCATAAACCCGATCCATCAGTTTTACGCTTTTCTAGGTGACCGTTGATCCATCGGTAATCCCGAGATCTCTCGGTAGCCCGACGTCTATCGTGCTTAGTGAGATGATCCAATGGTAACCCAGCCAGCTTAGCTAATAGGATTTTATCCGTCCACACCTCTGCTCGTCGGTATTTCTCGTCGTATTCTGGACCGTCCGTACGGGCAGCCTCGAATCGAAGTTCAGAAGGCAGTTTGTCCGTTCTACACAGAGGACATTTTCATTCCCTGCTATTTGATCGGTATCGAACACATGCACCGTGTGCACGGTTGACACACGTGGAACAGTTCACCCACTCAACGAATCCGGTTTCAAAAGGATGACAATTCACCCCATAGACCCGCATAATACAGGTGCAAAAATAGCAGAATCTGTTGGGAAGGGTGGCGAAGAAGTTCATGCTCTATAGCACCGTTGCCCACCTCCCGATCATGCCCGAGTAATCCTTCAATTTCTTGAGGGCTAATAATGGCTCATGATCGGTGACCAATGTGAACTTCCGCCCTTACAAATAGGCTCGAAAGTGGCTGATTCCCCACAGGGCCGCATAACATTCTCCTGTCGGGGCAGTGTAGTTGCGTTTGCAAGCAGGCACCGATTTAGACGCGTATTCCACCACGCATTCGAGTCCACAGGGTTCCACCTGGGCCAAGATCGCCAAGATTGCCTCCGACTGCCAATCCGTGATGAAGACAAAAGGCTTCGCAGGATCCGGTCTTATAAGGACCGGAGCCGAAATGAGGGCTGCCTTGAGTTTCGAGAACGCTTGATCACATTCTAGCGTCCAGATCAACGACTGATCCTTTTTCAGCAGATTTGTGAGGGGACCCGCAATAGCCGCGAAGCCCTTGATAAACCTTCGGTAGTACGAGGCCAGGCCCAAAAAGGCGCGAACTTGCGTGATAGTCGTGGGCACAAGCGCGTCTCTCACGGCTGCCACCTTTTGCGGTTCCGGTCTGAGTCCCTGGTCTGTCACCACGTGTCCCAGAAAGGAAATGGTGGTGAGAAAGAACTAACATTTCTCGAGCGCCACCTTGAAACCAGCATCTCTCAAAGTGTGCAGCGTCCACTCGATGTGTTGCACGTGCCCTTCGTAGGAACTTGAATACACCAGAATATCATCCATGTACACGATCACGCAATAATTGATAATGCTCTGTGCCAGTCGTGTCTTCCGCACAAAGTTCTGGAAAGCCATATTCATGGCTCGCCGGAAGGTTGCGAGAGCATTACAGATGCCCATCGGACATCGAACCCATTGCCAGGTTCCTTCGAATAACACAAACGCCATTTTCGGACGATCCTCCTCTCGAACAAGAAGATGATGAAACCCATGTCGAACATCAAACTTACTGAAAAATTGAGCACTCCCAATCACATCCAACAACACATCAATTCGGGGAAGGGGATACACATCTTTGATCTTGATATTATTCAGCTTTCGATAATCAATGCATATGCGAATCCCTCCGGCCTTTTTGGGCACTATTACCACAGGAAACGACCAAGGTCCTATTGCGGGTTCGATCCATCCATTAGCTTCAAATTCCTTGATCCACTGAAACGGGGCTGCCCGTTGGGCTGGCGAGTATCGATAAGGAACGCAGTTAATGGGTGGATGATCCCCCGTTAGGATGGCATGCTCGATCACATTAGACAGCCCAATATCGTTATCGCGCACACTCAATACCTCTACATACCCATTCAAGACGTTAATTAGTGATTGTCGAAATTCCAGGGGAACGTGATCGGGCAGAGTGACAGTCGGTCGATCAAGTATTTCAAGAGGCGTATCGATCCAATCAGCAGGCCAATCCCGTCGGTCATGGACGCTAGAGAAAATGGAGCTGCTAGTGCGGACTGAGAATACAGTCGCGATCATCTAGGATTCAGCGGGGCTAATCATCTCTGTCTCTTTAGCTTCAGCGTCAGTTTTCGAATCACTCGAGGTTCCGTCCACTGTTAGTCCTGTTAGATCCACCATTTCCTGCATTAGATCGGGCACATCATCGACAGGAGTTTCGGCTTCTTGTTTAATCAGAGCGATGGTCGCTCCTGTCGTAAGCAGTGTTCTTGGGGGGGGAACAGAAACATCCAGGTATTGTTTCGCCTGTTGATAGCGGGCTCGAAGGGAAAGTGTTCCCTCGTACAAGGTGCGAGGGGGTTCCAAATCGTCTGCCAGGTCGGATATTTGCAAGATGGGTTCTCTGAAGAAGGTCGAAGGACTGACCTGGGTTTCTATAGGCGCGAGCGCGCTGTCTTCCAGACTCAAGTGGAAGGTTCGGGTGGCTCTGGGAACCATCAGAAACTCCTCGGGGTTTTCGTGTTCGAAAAGTTCGACCAAATGTTTCCATTCACTCTCGCTAGGCATCTCTTCCTCGTACTCCTGTTCTTCGAATCCGCTACTGTTATCCAGGGATGAAGATTCCTTGTGATCGGGACCTTGAATCATCCCTATCCGAGCAGGGTTAGGATTCCGTTTTACTGTTCGGGTTGAAACCCGCAACGGAACTGTATGAGGCTTCCCTCCTGTTTGTGTGAGAACCAACTGTTTGGAATCGAAATGCAGTCGGGCACCTACCGCTATTGCCCAAGGCAGTCCCAACAATACCGAATATGAGTGCACATCTATGACTAAAGCGTTAACGAGGACGTGTACTCGTCCAACTTTCACGACCACATTCTCGATGACTCCTACAATATTCATTGCTTCCTCGTCGACAGAGACGTAATGGTCTTTGCCAGATTGAGGGAGAATCGAATTAAGTCGTCCCGTTCTCTTTACGGTGTCTAATGATATGGCGACCGCAGACGAGCCAGTATCGATGAGGGCGTTAAAAGGTTTGCCCCATACTTCGCAATCACATTCAGCACTTTTTCACAACACTGGTCGAGCTCTCACGAAGTGATCTTTCTCTGCTAAAGAAATTGCAGCTACTCGCGCTGCTTCGGGTTCACCAACTTCGGGTTCAGGCGATGCAACATCCTCCGCTCCTTCTTCCTTCTTCTTTTTCAGCACCCGTTGTATTGCCTGGTACGTAAAACACTTTTGATTCTTCTGACATTGTTGCGGCAGCTTGTCATTCGCTGCTTCGGATATGGTGAGCAAATGCCCCACCGGGCCTGGAACACGAATGTCCAGCTGTTTAAGCGTTCTTAGGATATCGATTTCGCCCGTCCGAAACTGTGGTCCGGGGTTAGATTCGCGTTTGACCCATTCAAGATCGTCCTGAGCTGGTCGGATTGCTCCGATCATCCCGACAAGATGAAGGTATTCGAGCGGATCGACTACGTCAGCAGCGTCGGAAGAAGAAATTCCCGAGGGCGATGCAGTTGTCATTGATGGGGAAGGGAGCTCAGGAGCGTACGCAACGATCTCCTCGCTTCCGGACCTATCCATTAGTGCAGCCATTCGTCCTTGATTCAGAGCTACGGGGGCTGCAGCAGGTGGGGGTTGATTTCTTTTCGGCTGCGGGCAGTCCCGGGCAAAATGCCCGGGCTGTTTGCAATTGTAACACTCAATTTTCCCTGCCAGGTTGCCTGCGTGAGGGAACGACTGTGCATGTCCGGGTGCAGGCGGAGCAGGCAAAAGCGGGAACGATGCAGGGGCAGGTCGAGAAGGAGCCGGGTTGGGCTTAATTAGTCTGCTCATTATCTGTTCCATTCGATCCATGTGAGCCGCCTGCATTTGGACCAGATTCCTTATCCATTCAGATTGTTTGGTGGTAGCTGTATGGATCATCTGTGCTAAATGCATGTTTGTTATGGTCATAGGGGAGGAATCTTGGGAGCTTCTTGGTTTAACCGTTGCTACCTGTTGATTCATTGAGGGGGACGGAGGAGGGGGAAAAGGAACTGACGGAATATCAGAGGCAGCCCCTTCGGGGAAGTCATGATCAGGCCGGGGATAGAAACGTTCCGCCGCTCGCAACCACGATCGTCGTTTCGCCGCTACATCCTGAATCGTATCTGTAATGTCTTCGTCTCCCTGACTGATATATTTCTTGGTATCCGCCAGATCTAACTCAAGTGTTTTAGCGATGATAGCGGGTAGCTGGTGCGTTTTGGAGGGGACCTTTTTCTGCAGCTTACCTTTTAATGTCGGACTTCATAGATGATCGATGAACAAGTCTCGGGCGGACTTTTCATCTTGCCCTGACTTATCTAACGGAGTTTGGAATCGATCCACGAAGTCAGGCAGCAATTCCCCTGGCCTTGTGGTCGAGTTTTGAGCACATACCAGGCGGCGTCTTCGCTAACCGTGTCAAATCTAGTCAGGAAGGCTTGCTTAAAGGTGTTCCAGTCTACCCACGTGTGTTTCCTAAGCCAATCATGTACTGTGTTGCGAAGCAGCAAGGTGAGGACGAGGGGGAGATCTCCCGCGCCATACCCTTGAGCTTTGACGACTTCCAACCAGGCTTTGGGGTGGGTATGATTAAGAAAGAAAGGAAAAGGGGCGGGAATACTAACAATTACCCTGGGAGGAGTTACGTTACCGTCACCCATTGGCATAGTTGATCTAGCCGCACCAGATCTAGATCTGGTCACTGGGCGATCTCGATGCGCAGGTTGAGGACTCCCACCTCTCACCAGTTCGACTTACTATCATCAGAACCGACACGTGTCGGCTCCGATACCAACCTCACGCCCTGTGCTACCTTTCGTTCGGAGTGCTAAAGGTATGGAATGAAGGCCCAGAAAGACAGCACGATGGGGTGTGCCAAGGATTTTTGGAAAATTGAGTGTGGGGACACAGACAAAACTGAAATCCCCCGTGTTGGCCCGATGAAGTAAGTCGGTTGCT